TTCTGAGAATATGCCCATAAAACCCTTAATTCCCGATTAAATGCCAAATAGCGTTCGCCTGATCGAAATTGAACCAAAAATCAACCAAAACCCTGAGCCAACTGTATGAAACAATCCAGAGCTCTGAAAATCAGTAAAAACCCTAATTTCGCTTGACTGACAAGAAAAGTCCGTTTGTCCGATTCTTGAGCCAGTTTGAAAAGTCAGGAAAGGCTGAAACTGAGATTTCTTTGGGGGAAAACGCGAGGGCAAATTTTGGGGTACAACAAGGCGCCTGACAATGTATATGAGCATATGGGACTTGATTAAGCCCTTGAAAACCTCAACTTCCTTGCAAGAACCAAAACCCTAATTTTGACTGGCTTAGGAGGATGGTTTGACTGTGCAGCCCTTGAGTAGACTTGAGATGATGCTTGCCAAAACTTTGAAGAATATGGGAGGGCAAATTTTGGGGTACAACAGTTGTATTAACCATTATTTTAGTACGTTGTTTTCTGGGTATATGTGGATTGTTATTCTTTATTTTGCCGCTTCGAAGATTCATGTACTGAAACGCGCTCCACACTCAGAAAATCCTAAAACTTCTCTAATATGTTTGATAAAACCTTTTTTTTTGTTATGACACTGTCCCACCGGGTGTGCAAATTTGTTTACAGTGATTTCTAGTAAACAACCGCTAGTCTTCCAATTTACTAATTTATTATTGGTTACTTGCAGGATCGACTAGATTGATCCTAGAACACATGTGTCATAACTTAGTTTTATGTTCATATCTATTATATTGATAGACTTATATTGTATGTTAAGTTTGAAGACGAGATTCTTAGGAAAGATTTCTAAAATGGTCTATAGGAATAAACTAAATGAATGTAGGCAGGGAAGGCTTCGAATTAAACTTGGGCTTGAATGTAAAGGTAATTCTAAAATGGCTTGAATGTGAAGATAAGTGTTTGACTAAAAGGATAAAGTAAAAGTAAATCGAAGGATTTAAGGGTAAAAATACTGTCTAACGAAATGACTGTGTTTACAGACAAGTAAAACAAAGGAAAAGCAAGGAAATCGAAGTGTTTAAAGACAACGAAATAACTGTAATGCAAGGAAATCGAAGTGTTTAAAGGACAAGGGAATACTGTAATGCAAGGAAATGTAAGGATGTAAAGAGCAAGGAAATACTGTAAAGGTGATCGAAGGATTTAAACACAATGAAATACTGTAAAGTTGAATTAAATATAACAGGACTTGTATTGAAATTGTAAAAAAGTAATGATGTTCAACACGTACATTGTATCTTCTGACTCGTTTTTCCTTAATTCACGGAAGTAATGAGTATTTTGAGATATTTTAGTACATAAAAGTGAACATCCTTAAATCTAACATAAGAACACCTATTTATAGTGTTTCGACCCTAACGGCCCTACTCTAAAATCACGCCACGTTCGAAGCATGCAGGCTTCCCATGCTTGCTGACTTCCACGCGTCTTCTAGGATGGCGCTATTTATTTGAAATTCGAAATCTGTACCAATCGAAGCATCTTGTTACTTTCGAAATAACCCAATTACTTGGACCGTTTCCAACTTCTGGCACCCTTACATAAAGGAGCTCTTTTGTAATTCGAACACCAAAAAAGTCCAAATCGAAATGTGCTGGAACTTGAATAATCCTTTAGCATAAAGACTCCATGTCTCCCAGCAATATCCAATATTAATATTAATCTCCTTAGGTACTTCATTCGAAATATTATTTTGATAGCGGTTTCTTCCTTATTCGAAATAGCCAGCTAACAGCTGACAGTCCCCTAATCAACTTACTAGGCTTTGAAAAAACAACCTTTTGGTTGTTTTAATAAAAAAAGTGAGAGGGTTCTCTATGTTTTAAGGGCGAGTGTGTGTGTATGTTTTATCCATACTACTTACAAAAAGCTCTTGTGTCATTAAAATACACTAATCACTCACACAAACAAGACCAAACGACCTTTCACACTTTCTCTCTTTCATACTTTGAAACCTCAAGTCTTAGAATTATCTTTGACTCTATCACACGAGAACCTTGAGATGTTTCCATCATGTGATATATTTTAAATCATTAGTGATCATAAACCCTAATTTTTCAATTAAGCTAACTCTGGCTTGATTAAGAAGAATAACTTGATTTTGAGCAACTATCTTGTGCATCTTTGATCGCTTGATCTACCTTTAGTAATTACTCTGCTCAAGTATTGTTATCATTAAAACCACTCCAGGTGTTTTTGCTCTTTCAAGTGTTTTCATCATCAAAAAAATTTCATTATCAAAGTAAAGCAATTACTTCTTGAGTCATGCTCTACATGAGATTTATCAACTTGAATCACTTACTTGCAAGCACATGGACCCACATCCCCCACTTTTGATGATGACAACGCATCTCCCAAGAAGATGTTAACATAAAAATCATGTAGATAAAATTTGAAGTTGTTAAACTCTCCATCACATGAGTAGAGAGGATACTCTATTCTCCATGAGAATATACTTCTCCCCATTTATTGTAATAAAAAAGACGGATAAAAATATTAGAAAATTGTAAATATGCTAGCACATAATTCACACAGAACAAACATATTAATAAGAAGGAAAAATATTATTTTATTAACTCAACATACTAGAATTCAAATTACAGAAAGCATGAAATAGGGGGAACTTAAAAAATGCGGGAAAAGGTGGAAAATTAAACACACTTAAAGGCTAAAACTAAAGCACTTAAGTGAGGTTAGACATTATCATAAGTATAATCATTTCTTGAGGTATTCCTCTTGTTGATGGCCACATCCTCTGCCAAATTCTGGATGACTATAGCATTTTGGTGACATAATTTTAGAAGATTATTGACAATCGTATTTTTTACGACTGGTTGGATTATGCCTTTGTCTTCATTCATTAATTAATTCCTCAATTCTCCATGAAAGATACGAACCCTCATTCTTTTAAGTGAGAAGTGATCCATCTTGGTGTGAATCAAATCCATTGTTTCTTCCTTCTATACATGTCTACTACATTAGATATATTGCACAAAATTTTATGTGGGAGATCATAGACAAGACGTGCCGGAAAAGGTTGTGAACAAAACCATAGTTCCAACACTACTGCAAAGAGACCAGGTTGACAAATACAGAAGCATTAAGGTGGATCGATAATATTCTAGTAGAGAAGTGGACCATGACATTTGAAAATAGTCAACGATGGGGGCACATGACAACAAATCTTGTGGAATCAATGAACTCTGTCTTCAAAGGCATAAAAAACCTACCGATAACCGCGTTAGTGAGAGCAACCTATTTTAGGTTAGGGTCACTATTCGAGACCAGAGGTTCAAAATGGAGTTCAGTGTTACAATCAAGATGGTTGCTTAGATGTATGAAACTTATTAATGAGGAAAGTGTCAAGGCTAACACACATGTGATTACAATGTTTGACCGTCGTAAAAATTGTCTCAATGTTTAAACAAGCTCCACAACATAATTATTGTATGCACTCTTGATATGTAATTTCTTTTTTTTAACTATGAAATTTCATATTGAATATAACTTTTATTTCATATCAAATATAACTTTCGGTTACAACAAAACGATCACAATCACGCATAAAATAACAACACGAAAAAACAAATAAAATTACTAAACACAACATATCCAGGAGATTACAACCATCAAAACAATATCATCTGATACATACATCATAACACGATAATCACCGTCAATTTTTAACTAACTCTCACACATGATATAATCCATCATTGTTGAACACCGAAACAAACCTATCAATTATTCTAATTTTTTGGTGAATAATATAAAATATTGACTATTGAAAAAATGAATATGAATAATATGATTATTTAAAAAAATGTATTTGTAAAAAATCTATTAATTTTTGCACCCACCAAAATCTTCCTAAGACATACCCTTTCAACCTTTAAAGATAAATTGTCTACGAACTCCCAGGAATATGTTTGGATGAAATATTTTTTAAAAAAATTAATTTAAAATGACATGGCCAAAAAAATTTATTTAGATAAAAGATGTAGACCGGCTAAATGATAGAAACATATGAATTACTTTATGCAAGTTAAATTTAATAAATTTTTAAATAATACCTAAAAGTAAGAAATTTGAATTTTCTCTTCCACTCTATTTAATTAAATGTCAAATTCATCATCATTAATCTTTTAAAATTTACAAACTAATCCTATTAATTTTTTTTTTTAAATACAAATTCATCTCAAATTTTTTCAAAAAATTTGCAACTTAATCTTTTAATAACTTTTTAAAAATTACAAATTGACTCCAATTTAATAATGTGTATACATATTTCCTAATCCTCTTAGTTATCTCTAAATATTTCTCAAATTTTAACATTAAGGAATTTCTACCCTTATCTCTGTAAAATTTTCAATAGGATTCCTAACTCTTCTTTTTATCTTTAGTTTTGAAGGTTATTAGACAAAAAAATAATAAAGATACATACATATTTGTTACTGTTAAAATTCAACAGATCTTTAAGACAATCCACTAACAAATGAATATGCAAATTGAATCGACCAAACCTATACCCTCAAACTATCTAAATCGAACCCGCTTTGTCTGCCGCTGGCTAGGTTGGCCTCTATTGTCGGCTGAGCCAACCTCCACCGTTGGCCAACCTCGTATTGCTTTTCCGGTGTTCTGATTTTTGCCAATGCCAAAATATCTTCTCTTTCTCTTCATCATTTGAGATTTTAGGACACATTTCTACCATAACTACTTTAGCATAAACAATTTGTAATACATTTCTCATGAAAAATTAGAAAAAAAATGAAGACGGTAGAACCTCATGGGATTTAATCTCGAGAGGAAGAAAATAATATCTATAAAGTGTGCATTTTTGCCTATTTTGGGAACATTTTGCTATTACAAATACTGTTATATATTTGTAAATGTCAACCATGTCTATCTTAAAAGTCAAAACTGCAAAGAGTTTGGAAAACAAAGACATTATGAAAAACCAACAAATTGCTGAGAAGAAGTGACACAAAGAAAGTGAAGTATACTAGTTTGGACTTCTTCACATTCAATGTAATAATGGAACTCTAAATGCTTAGTACCCTCATAGAATAAGATTTTCCGCATTGTGAATTGCACTATGACTATCACAATACGAGAACAAGATACCTTAAGATATGCCAAAAGATATAAAAGCCACTGAATCTCAAACATGGGAATGCAAGTGCCTTTAATTCACCTTCTTCCTATCTCTGTTTTTGGCGAATCTCCAATCATAAAGACAGCAATTTGTGTCACTGCAAAGAACCAAAAACCCAGTATATGATATTGTGGTTTGTTTCCTACAGTTGATAAGATTGGGAAAGTTGGTTAAAGAGTAAAATTGCCACCTACAGAAAAAATTCATCAATTTTCCATGACTGTGATCAACCAATGTAAATGGGATAGTACTGTAACCAGTTGTTAGTAATACAAAATAGAATATAGAATTCCATCATTTCCTCTTTTGTGTGTGTCTTGCTAATCTTTGGATTCAAAATTTTGTTACAGAAGGGTGACCAGGCATCAGCAATGGTACAAGCTAACATGAAGAATGGGAAGGAGCGTAAAATCGTTTTCCTTGTACAAAATGAATACTAATTTGAAGCTCGACAAAAAAAGATGCTTCCTTCATCATTGAGATGCTAGAGTAGTACTGGTAGTCTCCGGCTTGGTTTCAGCAGGGCACCCTCCCTTAGCAACTGTGGCGGCAATTCTATTTGGTGGCCAATAGCGGAATACTGATCTACCTATGATATTCTTGGCCGGCAGAGGACCCCTAAGAAAATTGTATTTAACAAGTAAGGAAATAACTCAAATAAGAAGTAAGAATAGTGTACATAATGCATGTAATCTTTAAATATATTACCACACATGTGAGTCGTAGCTGTTATTGCGGTTGTCTCCCATCACAAAAACGGAGTTTTCTGGAACACGCTGCAAAGCAAAGTATTTTTAAGAGAATGATATGTATCGATTTTATTTAAATTGTTTTGTATTATTTATTAATTATGCATATGTTCTTAATTTTAAACACTTTAAGGAGGCCCTAAAGAGAACTGGAGAAAAACAGAGTTACAATATAAAAGTGTAGAACTTACTATAGGTTTCATTTCATATTTCGGCGCTTCATTTATAAACTTCTCATCCCTTTCAATCCCATTAACTACAACATGTCCATTTCGAACCTGCAAATAATTCAATTACTCAGATTTAGTACACAAAGGCACTTAATCAAACACGGCAAGAATCTGACTGAAGTTATAATAACTGAATGCTGATTCAATATTCTACATTCATGCAAATTTCAAAGTTCCATGTACAGGAAATAAACAGTGAATCTGACTAAAGTTATAATAACTGAATACTGATTCAATTTTCAACATTCATGCAAATTTCAAAGTTCCAGGTACAGGCAATAAACAGTGATCATTAGTCACTTAACCAACCCTTAAAAATGTTAATCAAGCAAGATAAAATTCATCGACAAATGACATGTAATAGCACATTTGTAAAAATTTGTTTGTAATCATGAAGCCCAACAGTGCACAACAACATTAGCACAAACAATGAATTGAACAAAGAACTCAAAGGCAACATCATGAAACAAGAGCAAGAATGTATATCTCCAAAGCTCGTACCTCTACAATATCACCTTCCTTTGCAACAACACGTTTTATGAAAACATCATCATCAGTATATCCAACTTCTTGAAGGACTGGAGGGCTTTTAAAAATCACAATATCATTTGCACACGGCTTTCTAAAATAGTATGAAACCTGAAAACATGAAGTTGTATCATTACTAATAGTGCATCATAACAGAAAGTCTAGTTGAAATTTGATGTCAAATCTATTACAAGGGCATAGTCATATATATTTAGGTGATTCTATCCTGTGAGTAATTGAGTATTGAGGCTAACAATAACAACTCTCATGACGACAAATAGCTACAAGTCTACAACAGCGAGACTATTATAAGTAAAGAACAAAGCCAACAATCAACATGCTTCAATATCAAGAACTATGATTAACTGACTAGGTATAAAAAACAATATGTAATCAAATTAGTGCTCAATGAACTAGTATCATGAACTAGGGGCATGTTTGGATAAGTAGTAAAGGGTGAGATGGGATATGATATAATATCATCTATTTTTTTAAAATCTAACCAGCATATCCCATCCTATACCAACAATTCCAAACATATCCTAAAAACTACAATGCACATCAAACTAGCCTATGTCATGAATCAACAATTTGAACCAGCAATACTCACAAACATCATAATCTTAAGTCTTAACCATTTCATGTTAACTTCGATTAATTGAATGGTTTCCATACTTCAACAAACAGCTGAAGTTTTCATATGAAGAAGCATCTACAATCTAAATAGATATGCACCATAATAAAGTCTGTCTAATTGGATAGTGATGTCAAAACCTATTACTAGAGCATAGCCATATACATATTTACTTGGACATTAACATTCTATGAAGCTCACAAACACTGAATAGTACAATGACAAATTGATAGTGATAATCTTAGAGTGTGTGGTTGAGCCTAATTCAGCCTTACAAAACCGGCTTGTATGGTGAGGATAACCCTCACTTTTGAAACACAACAAATACCATATCTCTAAGCAATATGGGACTAAATCCACCCCCTTCAAATCCAACATAATGTAGGTGTTGGAAGCTGCAATGAAGCAAGCCCAAACGCCACAATTAGCCAACTAGGGGCGGACCGCAATGAAGGCAGAATTTCCAACATATAACAGTTTGTGAACACCAAACACACCTTTAACCAAAAAATATTTGGTAGTACTGCATGACCGACATTAGTGCTTTTCTTTCGAACTAGTTAAATTCAACATTAACCAAATACAAACCTAGTTTCCTACTACTTTCAAAACCCTAAAAATAGCAAAGCTAGTAACAAGTTCATTTCATTGAGACCCACTTGCATTGAATTGAGAACCAGAAGAGCATAAAAAGAGTACCTTTTCAGCAACAATTCTATCTCCAACATCATAAGTAGGATACATCGACAACGAAGGAATGAACCTCGGCTCAGCAATGAAAGTACGAAAAGCAAGCGAAATCGCCAAAGCAGCAAAAACCGTTTTCGCATCATCACTAGTGAAATTCAACCACTCTGGAAAAAGTCCAGACGACACATTTTTCTTCTCAACCTCCTGGTCAACATCTCGACCACCGCCACCATTATCACCGGAATCTTTCAAGGCTTTATTGCATGGGAATCTACGGCGAAGAGTGGTGGATGTTTTGTAGAGTTGGGGGAAGTTAGGGCGAGAGCGTGGTGGTGAAGAGATTCTAGAATTGAAACGGAGATTGGGTAATTTGAGGGAATTGAAGTTAGGGTTTTGAAGTGATGGAAGTGAAGAAGAGATAGAGAATGATGATGACATTCTTCTAACTATTTTGTGTTTTGAAGAGTGAGTTGAATTGAAAACAGTTAAATGTCTTGTTATTATTGTTACTGGTTTTTGGTTTTTGATTCTACCGTTTAGATTGGGTTTTGTTTCTTTTTTTCTTTCTTGTTTCTCAAGTTTGTTTATCTTTTTGCATTTTTTTTGAGAAATTGTTTTTATTTTATTTTATATTTTAAATCAAAATGGAACATTGAATATAGTGTGACTTTGTTCTTGCGAGCCATTTTTTGAAAATTGTTTGGTGTACAAGGAAAAAAAAAAGTGAGAGATGGAAAGATGAATTTTTTTATGTTGATTATTGATGAAAATGAATTATTTTTTTATTATTTGAAAAATAATTTAAGTATATTGAATATTTTTTTCAAAAGTGTGGTTCTTTTAAAAAAAGTAAAAGAGTCGTTGAAAAATATGAATTGTATTACTGACACCGTCTATAACCGTTCTAGTGCTCATAACAAAAAGAGTTTTTATTATTTTTGCATTCAATCGAACATACTTTGTTGTGCCAATAGATTTTATCAATGGTACACTTCTTTGGGCTAAGTGGACGGCCTTAGAATCTTCATCAGGTGTAGTCTAAGGTATCACGTCGATCTTACCTGGGTGTTTCAAATGGCTCCTCAATTTAGCATTATTGGGTTCTCATTTGGTGGTTTTTAAGTAAAGTTGAATGAAATCACCAATCCGTTCTCTCATTAGTTGATTGGCCTGAATATCAACCTCCGTCAAAATGGGAGGAGGCATAGGGATCTCGACGCGATTGTCCCTTCCGTCGTCATTTAACAAAAGGGTCTATGAGGAATCAACCAAAGAATTTCAGAGAGTGCCCAAATCCCCTTTTTGAACCAGAATCATTAGATAAAGATATGACCTCTGGACTTACGCTATCGCGAGCAAGGGAAGGAAGATGAGAATTAGGGGATGTCCCCATTTCCACAGAAGTGGAAGTATCACTCTCAAAATTACTCAATAAATGAACACTACTATCTCTCATTTTGAATGAAATTTTTAAAGGGTGGGAATACAAAGCTTTTGTTGAAGAAGGTACCTGGTGTATGCGAGATCGAAGGAGTGAAGTGATGAAGAAAGGATAAGACTTTGGTCAAAAGAACTGCTCGAAATCTGAAAAGCACTCTCAAAGACAAAGAGGTGAAGATTTTTGTCAATATGAAAGTTATGAATAAACGGGAATACCATGGAGTGGAAAAGTTTCCTCTATAGCCAATTTCTCCTATTTATAATCAAACACACTTGAATGATTAGGGTCTGTGAAATAAAGTTGTTTCCAGATTAACGACTAGAGTCCCTTCGGAGATACACACAAACTCAAGTGCACTATAAGTTGTATCATCCCCTATTCTGCCACGTTAGCCTACATGTCAAGAGAAGACGGCGAAACATTTTTGTTGATTAAAATGCATTTAATGCTCATGCTCCCCACTATTTTTTCAACTGACTCCAAGATATTTAGTTACCGCTTACATTGGACAATATCTTGGAGGCCGATATAAACCACTAAAGGCTTCCCTGGCTCACTCGCTGCCTGAAAAAGCCTTGGGAACATTTGTTATGGTCCGACCAAAGTCCTAAATATCTAAGGGTTAACTCTCTTTAAATTTATTCCACGTGACCCAAGGTATAAAACTAGTTCACACACAAAAGCATGGTACATTCTATGATATCCACTTTTCACTGCACTCATCTTGAATATTAAATTGACTTTGGGTGTTGAAGTGCTAACCATGCAGGTCCACCCCACACCGTCATAGAGGAGATCAGCACCACCGTTCAAGATCACCAATTCTCCAACACTCATTTGTGTTTCCCAAACAAAATGGTGTTTGATCATTGGAAAAGTGATCCAAACAATAACGATCTCTAACTTTACACCTGATAAATGTACATGTATACATAAATTTCATAAAATTTATTTCCCCAACAACAATATGGTCAAACAAAAATTCACATGAATGCATCGAATGTAATAAGTGAAATATAAATTCAACATCATAGAAAAGGCACCATAAAATTTTAAACTCTCACTAACCAAACACATCGAAAGAACTTACCATTCATATATTTTCAATGTGGCTCTTGAAAAATTTGGGTCTGAGTCCCTTGGTTAAGGGATCAACTAATATAGCATTTGAATTAATGTGTTCCACCATTATAACACCATATTTAACAAGATCTCTTGGGGCTTGGTCTATTAATTCCAAGTGATTTGATCCATTAGAATTTTTATTGTTCTTCGTGTGAAAAAATGCATTGTTATTATCGTAGAAGATCCTCATTAGCCTGCCAATAGAGTCAATAATATGAAATCGTGTCACAAGATTCCTCAAACAGACAACATGAGTAACGACAACAATTCAAGCAATGGACTTTACCTACATAGTAGAAGATGCAAAATGAGTTTATTTCTTATTATTCCAAGATATTGCACCTTCAAACAACATAAAGATGTATCCAGAAAATGACTTTCTTACACCATGGCACCCACAAAGATTTGAATCTATGTATCCTTCGATTTCTAAGTTTTCCACTCTTCTAAATGTCAACACATACTCTTTGTGCGGATCTATATGCTTGTAGGTATGAAGTTGATGATCCTGATGCTAACAACCTTAATATTTTTATGACGACAATACTAATGAATGTTGAAGTCAGTGGTAATAGCTTTCCAACTCTCTGATGATGGTGACTAAACTTGAAGACATCTCAAGCCTTATCAAATATGAGATTCAAGATTTCATTGAAGTGATTATATGATCAATGTGTATGAGAAAGGTTTTTGAAATCCTCAGAGCTGTGAAAGAGAGGAAGTGTGAAAGCTTGTATGGCCGTGTCTATCTGAGTGACTAGAGTCTGTCATACCCAAATTTGTCCGCCCTTTATTTCTACGGTCAAAAATATATATTCTCAAAACATTGGTTTTTATAATATTCTTTGATTTTCATAAATATTCGCTTCCCAACCTATTTAAAAATATAACAACTTATTCCAAATTATTTGCATTTTTAAAATAGCAAATATGTGCACACCTTTCATATACTTTCAAATTGAGTTTATTTACAAATTAGTAACATAACACAATTGGTTAAAATGAAGCTTGCAAGTATGAGGTCGCGGGTTTGAATCTTGTGTGTAACATTTTTTCTGTTTCTTTTTTTTACTAATTTTCTTTCCTTTTTTTGGAAATCGGACTTGGGTTTTTCATACATTTTGGATAACTTAGTCTCTAAGTTTTGTTTAACCTAATTCAGAGTCTATAAATAGGAATCTTATTTGTCCTGATTTTCCATCCACAAATTTTCACTGACACATTACTTCGCAATCATCGAAAATTCAATTTTTTTGTTTTGGTTTATTACAGGGTTTCTAAACAACCCGTTGTTGTCTATATAGACAATAACCCACAAATGGGCGAGGATTTCATATGAGGCCTCCTTATTACTTTTAATTTTATCTTTTCTCCTGTTTTATTGCTTTTTACCATATGATGATAACTCCCCTAATATTTCAACACCCTCTAATTTTCAATATTTTTTATTTGTTTTTTTTTCTCTAACCATATGATGAGTATTTATCTGATGATAATTTATTTGTAAAATTATATTTTCATTAAGCTTTCCACACAATACATGTTTTCTTTCTAGTGTTGAGTCAAACCTTATGTGTTCTTTCATTTGCACATGTGAATACACAAGGATTATACAAGAACTCTCATGTTGTACATACTAACTTTTTTTGAGAATAAGTTTACAAACCATCCAAGAACATGTATTTGTTATCACTATTAAATACTTACGAAACCAACTTTTTCTGGAAAACTATTTTCTTAGTCTTGTATGCTTTTGGAATGATGTGACAAAATTTTCCCTGCAAGAAGAAGAGAGAAGATATTTAAGATTAAATTGTTTTTGTTTTGAGGAGAATTGTGAAAATGGGATGGAGAAGAAAGAGAGTACAATTGAAATGTTTCAGCTTTTCTTATTTTTTTGTTCTACGTAATTCCGTTTGGTTTTATTTTTTCATTCAATAACAATTGTGACATGTCAAACTAAAACTCATTATAATTTTGTTTTAGTTTTATTAGATTTGATTTAGTCAATTTATTGGAGAGGGAAGAGTTATGAGTTTGCTGTTTTCACTTTTTGATTTAATTCAATTCATTTACAAATTAATAATAATAATGAAGCAAAGAATGTAAAAACATTTTCTTCCCTGTATTGTTTTTTTTTTCATTACTATTTTCATTAATTATTTCTTTTATTTATCATTAGTTAATAATATTTCAATTTAGGTTTAATTGTTTTGTTGCTTTGAGTTTGTGTTCCTACTCATTTATAAAGATTATACCTTACTTTCTACTGTTGTAATCGTTTTTCTTTTAATTGTTTTGTAATCACTTTTATTTGTTTTTTTTTTTGTTTTTTGTTTTGTTTTAAATAATACAAATACTAAAAAATATTAAACATTAAAACAAATGATTTTCATAATTAAATTAATTACTAATATTTTATATCAAGATATTAAAATCCACACAATTTATTGAATACTCCATCCGTGAACGACACGTGGTCAATATCTGGTCAGGTGATGAGGAAGACTTTATCAGACTCCTTCTGCATCTTTCATGACAAGTAACACGTGATCAATATCTGGTCACGTGATGAGGAGACTATATTAGACTTCCTCCGCTCTATCATACTCTTTAATCAAATCGAAATTCAAAACAGCTAACCAATTCAAATCATATTTTGGATTAACATAATTAAAATTTCAAGATCATTTTTCAAATAAAGGATTAAATAGCTTTTCTATCAAAATTAACTGCGAACTGCGTCTGCGCTCACTCAACTTACAAACCAGACAAGGTTCAATGATAATTCGAAAGCAATTCTACGCATTCTCATAAAAAACACAAACCAACATTACAAACTACGAATTGAGACTCTGATTCTTCATAAGAG